TCTGAGCGTACCATACGTGAAGCTGCGGGGGCGTAAGTGTTTCGCGTGGACGCCGCTGCAGCTGCAGCTGGCCACTGCCAGACGCTCCCAACTGACCAGCTCCAGGGCGACAGCTACGACGGCTACTGTGACAACCCCAACTAGTGTACCACTCACTAAGCTGCTGGGGCGTGAGAGACTCGCGCGGACGTCGCTGGAGCTGCATCTGGCCACCGCCAGTAGCAGCAGTAGCAGTAGTAGCAGCAGTAGCAGCAGTAACAGCAGTAGCAGCAGTAGCAGCAGTAGCAGCAGTAGCAGCGCGGCCACCCCTACAACCCCAACTAGCGTACCACTCACTAAGTTGCTGGGGCGTGAGGGACTCACGCGGACGTCGCTGGAGCTGCATCTGGCCACCGCCAGTAGCAGCAGTAGCAACAGTAGCAGCAGTAACAGCAGTAGTAGCAGCAGCAGCGCGTGCAGGGCAGGCGCGGCAGGCAGGCAGGCAGGCAGGCCGGCAGGCAGGCAGGCAGGCAGGCAGATGGCGCGGCAGCGCGCAAACAAGGCAGGTGCTCACCAGTGGCGGGAAGAGCAGGCGCTCGTCGGGCGAGCAGGGCCGGCGCTCGGCGGGCGGCTGCACGGGGTCCAGGGGCGGCGTCGCGGGTCTAGGGGCGGCTGCACGGAGTCCAGGGGCGGCTGCTGCAGGGGCCAGGGGCGGCTGCTCTGGGTCCAGGGGCGGCTGCTCGAGGGTCCAGGGGCGGCTGCACCAGGGGCGGCTGCTTCAGGGGCCAGGGGCGGCTGCTCGGGGTCCAGGGGCGGCTGCTGCAGGGGCCAGGGGCGGCTGCTCTGGGTCCAGGGGCGGCGCTCGAGGGTCCAGGGGCGGCTGCTCTGGGTCCAGGGGCGGATGCACGGAGTCCTGGGGCGGCTGCACCAGGGGCGGCTGCTGCAGGGGCCAGGGGCGGCTGCTCTGGGTCCAGGGGCGACTGCACGGAGTCCAGGGGCGGCTGCACCAGGGGCGGCTGCTTCAGGGGCCAGGGGCGGCTGCTCTGGGTCCAGGGGCGGCTGCTCCAGGGGCGGCTGCTTCAGGAGCCAGGGGCGGCTGCTCGGGGTCCAGGGGCGGCTGCTCCAGGGGCGGCTGCTTCAGGGGCCAGGGGCGGCTGCTCGGGGTCCAGGGGCGGCTGCTCCAGGGACGGCTGCTTCAGGGGCCAGGGGCGGCTGCTCGGGGTCCAGGGGCGGCTGCTCCAGGGGCGGGGTACATGGTGCAGGGCAGCGCGCGGGTCCCACAGGCGCCGTGACGGGCGACGGGGGGCAGCGCGCCGTCACCTGAGGAGGCGACGCGCGGGGCCGGCGGCAGGCTAAAACGAGGCCGAAAATCGGGCTACGCGGGCGGCGGACGCGGCGCGCAGGGCCTAAGCGGGCTGCGCGCGGGCGGCTTACGCGACGCGCGGGCCGGCGGCAGGCTGCGCGGGCGGCTGACGTGGCGCGCGGGGCCGAAAACAGGCCGAAACGGGCCTAAACGGGTTGCGCGCGGGCTGCTTAAGAGGCGCGCGCGGGGAAAAAAAAGGGCCGCGCGCGTGCAGCCGAGGCGCGCGCGGGCAGTAGGCAAGGCAGGTACGTTTTAGTGAGGTAAAATAGTAACCGTTGGGCCCTAATCCTAGGTCCTAAGGACCTATGCTCTATATGCCATGTTAGACTTAGGCAAGGATGATAATTGAGTATCGAGAGGGTTGGTACAAGAGGAAAACTCTAAGGGGTTATACCCCACTACAGCCTACCAATAACTCTAACATATATGTATATGTTTGACAATATTTTCTATTCACAATATACAATTATGGAAAGTGTTACACACGTAAAAAATACCTTTAAAGTAGGGAAAATATGTCAAAAGTAACCAATATGTGACTCAATAACGTTAATGGTAAAAAAATAACACGTACTGTCACTGTATCGGGTTTGCTGACGGGTTTGGTAAGTGGGGTCACGGATTCAGTCACTAACAACAGGTAAAAAATCACGCGAATGGTCACGCATGTAACTCCAGCCAAAAAAACTTGAAACTCTACAAAATTTCTGCTCGCGCTCAACCAGTCAGCTAACTTCGAAAACACTGTTACCCAATCGGAATTGGATGCGGTTTGGGAACGGATCAACCTTAAACAGCTGGCGAGTTGTGTTTAGGGTTGATTTATCCGAAAATGCATCCAGGTTCGTTTTGGGTTTTTTTTTTTTTTTTTTTTTTTTTTTTTGCGGGAGTTTCATCTGTGACCATTCACGTTATTTCTTCCCAGTTGATTGTGACTGATTCCGTGAAACGTTTTATCAAACACGTGAAAACACCCTGTGCAGTGACCGTACCCGTTATTTTTCTACCAGATATATTATCGAGACCCCTGTTGATTACGAGTGGCATATTTTCCCTTTAGAGTATTCTGATTTTTTTTCAGTACGACTCTACACGATTCGGAAGGTACACCAGCTTCAGTAGAATGGTATAACGAGGTTCGATGAGTGAATGGCTCGATTGAGCAACCAATGTTGCCCTAGCGTGATATGCGGCAGCAAATCCTGGGCTTCACCACACTAAACCCTTCGATTTTCCCAAATGCAGCGGTGCGGTCTGCCTGAGTCACATGCGGGGAAATGGATTCACAACAGTCCAAACCAGTTCTCGATTTGTTTTGGGGGACCCTGCCAGATTAAAGTTGCAGCTCAGGTACACCCTTCCACGGCAGGGCGTTCCCGGTGGTTTTTGTTTTTAACGTTCTATTCTTGTCTGAAAAAGCAGAGAGATCTTCGCGACACTGCGTTAGCATGGGAAAAACAAGGCTCCATTGACTTGAACCCTGGACCTGGCTATATTTAGCCAGTCAGTCAAGACAAGAGTGAGCTTGTTCAGGAGTAGGATTGCTACTTACGTCAGCATGGGAAAAACAAGGCTCCAAATTTGCTGACAAATCCAGACCGAACCGAACCGACGTCAAGCCGTGTCATTGCCAAAAGTCGGTGCGCTGAAAACAGGGTAGAACAGATGACTTACAAAACCGTGGTAGGGATTTCCAAATACACCCTCTTTCTCGATAGACTGGCATATGTTAGACTGACCGGGACGCCTAGTGTAACCACAACGGACCAAAGAAGGTCCTATCACATGCGTTATAGTGACAATTTGACCCAAGGTGGTCAGTCAGGGTTTCATACTTTATGAAATGGTACTGTCGTTTTCAAAACGGTTGGGAAGGCTATTCAGCGTTTAACGGTTTTTTACTGCCCAAGGCTTGTTTCATCACCTTGTGCGACTTTGCCCGCAACCGAGTTATCGCACCAGCCCGCTACGTCCAAACACTGTAGCCAGTGCGCGCGATGGTGAGACAGGTGAGAAAGAGGGTGTATCTGGGATCTGGCACAGCTCATGCAGCGAGTTCAGCGGCAAATTGTTAGCTGGGGCTCCTCGTTTCCCCTCCCTTGCTAATAACGAGCGTCAAGTGGTTTCCTTCGCTTTGTGTGGTTACTCTTGTTGCGTCCCGGTGCAAAACGGTGAAGTTCAGTAACCACTGTGCACTGTCTGGAATCGTCTTGCGCCACGACGGATGAACTGTAAACGAACATGCTCAGCCTGCCTGACTAGTAGTGTTTGCTGCCCTCGAAGGGCTGCGTCGCAACTACACGCAGTTCCCTTGACATGAGACAATGTAGGAAGTTCGACGAGCACCTCGTTTTTCCTCCTGCAGATAATCTCAACCGTTTCAGTGCGACCTTGCTGTTCTTTTGTACAGCGCCGTAACTCGTTGTACCATCACTTGTACCATCACCTCATAAAGCAGCCATCATGATGGCCCACACGTCGCTGCGACCAGCAGTCGTCCTCGCTGGTGAGTACACGATACTGACGGCCCTTCGTCCTCGCTCACTGATCCTTGTCTGACCGCGTGATGTGTGGGTCACTTACTAGTAAGCGGCATCGATGTGTGTGGCGAGCCATGTGTGTGGCGAGCCATGTGTGTGGCGAGCCATGTGTGTGGCGAGCCATGTGTGTGGCGAGCCATGTGTGTGGCGAGCCATGTGTGTGGCGAGCCATGTGTGTGGCGAGCCATGTGTGTGGCGAGCCATGTGTGTGGCGAGCCATGTGTGTGGCGAGCCATGTGTGTGGCGAGCCATGTGTGTGGCGAGCCATGTGTGTGGCGAGCCATGTGTGTGGCGAGCCATGTGTGTGGCGAGCCATGTGTGTGGCGAGCCATGTGTGTGGCGAGCCATGTGTGTGGCGAGCCATGTGTGTGGCGAGCCATGTGTGTGGCGAGCCATGTGTGTGGCGAGCCATGTGTGTGGCGAGCCATGTGTGTGGCGAGCCATGTGTGTGGCGAGCCATGTGTGTGGCGAGCCATGTGTGTGGCGAGCCATGTGTGTGGCGAGCCATGTGTGTGGCGAGCCATGTGTGTGGCGAGCCATGTGTGTGGCGAGCCATGTGTGTGGCGAGCCATGTGTGTGGCGAGCCATGTGTGTGGCGAGCCATGTGTGTGGCGAGCCATGTGTGTGGCGAGCCATGTGTGTGGCGAGCCATGTGTGTGGCGAGCCATGTGTGTGGCGAGCCATGTGTGTGGCGAGCCATGTGTGTGGCGAGCCATGTGTGTGGCGAGCCATGTGTGTGGCGAGCCATGTGTGTGGCGAGCCATGTGTGTGGCGAGCCATGTGTGTGGCGAGCCATGTGTGTGGCGAGCCATGTGTGTGGCGAGCCATGTGTGTGGCGAGCCATGTGTGTGGCGAGCCATGTGTGTGGCGAGCCATGTGTGTGGCGAGCCATGTGTGTGGCGAGCCATGTGTGTGGCGAGCCATGTGTGTGGCGAGCCATGTGTGTGGCGAGCCATGTGTGTGGCGAGCCATGTGTGTGGCGAGCCATGTGTGTGGCGAGCCATGTGTGTGGCGAGCCATGTGTGCTGGCTAGTGAGAGCATGACACATTTCCGCGCAGCATGTTGCTCGTCACTCTGGTCCTTAATTTGCTGCTCGCGCTGAATCTCCTCGCCCATCATGCTACATCTTGCGGAACTTCCGCAATTTGATCAACAGTAGGTCGGGAGAAAGATCAAAACCAATATTCATGATGCAATCAACCCTTTTTTTTTTTTTAGACACGGCCAATCTGCTCGTGCACGTGGTTTTCCCCGTGCAGTGCTGCTCTCTCTCAACTGCAGCGCCATCGCGGGCCGCATTCTCCTCACTGGGTTGAACACTCACTGTAAGTCGAACTCCCTTGCTGCACGCACTCGATTCTGCACGTCGCGGCACTGTCACCAAGTCGCACTGTTACCACGTCGTACTGTCACCACGCCGCACTGTCACCACGTCGCACTGTTACCACGTCGCGCTGTCACCACGTCGATATGTCACGTCGCACTGTCACGTCGCACTGTTACCACGTCGCACTGGCACCACGTCGCACTGTCACCACGTCGCACTGTCACCTCGTCGCATTGTCACCACGTCGCACTGTTACCACGTCGCACTATTACCACGTCATACTGTCACCACGTCGCACTGTCACCACGACCGATACACGCCGGACGATTTCATGCAACTGCGCATATCCTGTCATAAGTCCGTTTCTTCTTCTCATGTGGCTGGTTCTCCGTTTCCTTCTTTCCGTCGTGGTGCGCAGACCGAGCGACGTCGAAGCCTTACTCGGCAAGTGGTTTGACTGGCTCGTGTATCTTGGATGCTAACGTGTAAGTGCCACGTCACGTTGATTCAGCTGCTTTTTTCAAAACGTTGGTTACGAATCAGGCTGACTACATGTGCATCCTTCCTCGTTTTGACTACTGCTTTTCGCGTTCACGTGATCACGTCAACACGAGGCTCAGCAGCTAGTTATTTAATTTCTTTATCACTATCAATCACTGTATCTGCAAACCTGCAGTCACTACCCTGCTGCTTTCTCATCCGCCTGTTACCCTCGAACCCCCTTCCCTCCCTCACCTCTCCACCTCCCTCTCCTCCTCCCGCCATCCCTTCACAGCACCACGTACCAAACCTTCTCCTTTTTCTTCCGCGTTATGGGCGTACCTTACACGTCGGAGCCGACGTTTGACACGCCTGGGTACTACGACACTATGACCGACGCTCTCGTGGTCCAGTTTCCCAACTGCACGTTCTACAGAGAGCCAACAGTGCACAATTGGAACTGCACCGTCATAGACAAGCCTATCAAACTCCTCACGCCGTACCAGCCTGTCAACACCCTGAAGAAGCTAGTGGACGCTGGGTTGTTCGCGTATCCCGGGGACTTCTATATTGGGGTTAATGTAAACGGCGAACTGGTTGTGGGAGCAATAGGAGCGACTGTGGTGAAGTTTTGACTGGCAGGGATTGGGGTTGTGGAAAAAAATAAGCTCAAATGCTAGGTATCCATAGGTAGGCCTGCTCTGATTGACCTGTGTTGTGTTGCATCAGGTGTATAAAGCTAATGAGAAGGGATCTAATGAAAAGCCTTCCCCAAACATTTCTGTTGTACAGTGCTACCGTACGTTTGGAAAATCCTGAATGTACGATTTGAGCCAGGTTTGAAAACCCAGGGCCCATAGGCAAGCTTCAATTGTAACTATGAAAGAACCAAACAAGGTACGTACATTGAACAGACCCTGTGATCCACCAAGCAACGGCGTATTAACCAGGCTTGGTGAAGAGACTGAAACTGAAACTCAGCCAGATGCCCCAATATTGTGGCCCTCGCTTGAAAGTGATGGTTCATAGAAGATACTACGTTGTTTAAATGAGAAGGCGACGCGGGTCTGAGAGGTTTGCTGAAATCGCAGAAAGTAGTTTGCCTGCAAAATGCGAGTGAAAGAAAAGGCAAGGGGTTGAAGCTGAAGCAATCGGGCAGCAAGAATCGTGAAACCTGGCATTCCCATCTGCGTTGCCTCACCTGCCGTGGTGCCATCAAGAGCACCTCACCTGCCGTGGTGCCATCAAGAGCACCTCACCTGCCGTGGTGCCATCAAGAGCACCTCACCTGCCGTGGTGCCATCAAGAGCACCTCACCTGCCGTGGTGCCATCAAGAGCACCTCACCTGCCGTGGTGCCATCGAGAGCACCTCACCTGCCGTGGTGCCATCGAGAGCACCTCACCTGACGTGGTGCCATCGAGAGCACCTCACCTGCCGTGGTGCGATCGAGAGCACCTCACCTGCCGTGGTGCCATCAAGAGCACCTCACCTGCCGTGGTGCCATCAAGAGCACCTCACCTGCCGTGGTGCCATCAAGAGCACCTCACCTGCCGTGGTGCCATCAAGAGCACCTCACCTGCCGTGGTGCCATCAAGAGCACCTCACCTGCCGTGGTGCCATCAAGAGCACCTCACCTGCCGTGGTGCCATCAAGAGCACCTCACCTGCCGTGGTGCCATCAAGAGCACCTCACCTGCCGTGGTGCCATCAAGAGCACCTCACCTGCCGTGGTGCCATCGAGAGCACCTCACCTGCCGTGGTGCCATCAAGAGCACCTCACCTGCCGTGGTGCCATCAAGAGCACCTCACCTGCCGTGGTGCCATCAAGAGCACCTCACCTGCCGTGGTGCCATCAAGAGCACCTCACCTGCCGTGGTGCCATCAAGAGCACCTCACCTGCCGTGGTGCCATCGAGAGCACCTCACCTGCCGTGGTGCCATCGAGAGCACCTCACCTGCCGTGGTGCCATCAAGAGCACCTCACCTGCCGTGGTGCCATCAAGAGCACCTCACCTGCCGTGGTGCCATCGAGAGCACCTCACCTGCCGTGGTGCCATCGAGAGCACCTCACCTGCCGTGGTGCCATCGAGAGCACCTCACCTGCCGTGGTGCCATCGAGAGCACCTCACCTGCCGTGGTGCCATCGAGAGCACCTCACCTGCCGTGGTGCCATCGAGAGCACCTCACCTGCCGTGGTGCCATCAAGAGCACGCGCGTCTGCAGAGAGTGTGACCTCCATCTTGCTCGCCACCTGCAGCTGTGCGCCTGCTGTCGGGGTGAGAGATCGAGGGAGGTAGAGAGGGTGATGGGGAGACACAGAAAGGAGAAGAAGGGAGGACACAGTTGAAAGGGACAAAGAAGAGAAGCTAGGTAGGAGGGGTGAGATGAAGGCGCAAGTACTCTCACATCCACCGCTTCCCCTCCGTTACTGCATTCCCTCCAATACTGCTTTCCCTCCATTACTGCTTTCCCTCCATTACTGCATTCCCTCCATTACTGCTTTCCCTCCATTACTGCTTTCCCTCCATTACTGCATTCCCTCCACTACTGCTTTCCCTCCATTACTGCATTCCCTCCATTACTGCATTCCCTCCATTACTGCATTCCCTCCATTACTGCAATCCCCCCATTACTGCATTCCCTCCATTACTGCTTTCCCTCCATTACTGCTTTCCCTCCATTACTGCATTCCCTCCATTACTGCTTTCCCTCCATTACTGCTTTCCCTCCATTACTGCATTCCCTCCACTACTGCTTTCCCTCCATTACTGCATTCCCTCCATTACTGCATTCCCTCCATTACTGCATTCCCTCCATTACTGCATTCCCTCCATTACTGCATTCCCACCCAAACCAATCCGATCCCATCCCACCTACAAGCAACCCATCTCCACCGAAAACAAATTCGTCCCCACCCACAACCAATGTATTCCCACCCCTCTCCGTCCCGCCCCTTGCCCCTCCACCCGCGCCCCTCGCCCCTCGCTCTTGCCCTTCGCCCCTAACCCTGCACCCCTCGCCCCTGTCCCATGGAGGGCATGTGACCTGCAGAGGAGTCGGCGGGCAGGCGCAGCACCTTGTCGGCGCGGCCCACCGCTAGAATGCCCGACTGCCATGGGCCTCCGCCAAGCCAAGCCATTCCATGCCGTGATGCCATGCCATGCCATGCCGTGCCATGCCGTGATGCCATGCCATGCCATGCCGTGCCATGCCATGCCGTGCCATGCCATGCCATGCCGTGCCATGCCATGCACGCACAGGGGGAGGATGCACCGCCATGCCATGCCACGCCACGCCACGCCATGCCATGCCATGCCATGCCATGCCATGCCATGCCATGCCGTGCCGTGCCATGCCATGCCATGCCATGCCATGCCATGCCATGCCGTGCCATGCCATGCCGTGCACCGCCAAAGGGAGAATGCACCGCCATGCCATGCAGGACACGTGCAGAGGGGAGGGAGGGGGGCATGGGGGAGGGCGGGAAGCACGGGGAAGAAGAAACGGATGGTGAGGCAAGAGGTGACGGAGGGAGGGAAGGGAGAAGAGCAGGCGAGAAGAGGGCAGCCTGAGTGGGGGAGATGCAATGAGTGCATGCATGGTTGACGCCCTCAGGCCTGCCAGCATCCACAGAATCCATTGGAAGCGACACTCATCCCATGCCACTCGCCCATGCCACTCGCCCATGCCACTCGCCCATGCCACTCGCCCATGCCACTCGCCCATGCCACTCGCCCATGCCACTCGCCCATGCCACTCGCCCATGCCACTCGCCCACCGCCCACCCAAGCAGCACCACCCCAGCAGCACGCCCTCACGGCAGGCGGCAGGCGGCACCTGAGGCGGGTTGATGATGGCGGAGAAGCGGTCCACCGCGTACATGCCCAGATTCGATATGCTGTCATGTGCGCACGGGGGGGTGGTTTGGGGGGACGAGCAGGTGAGAGCAGGTGGCAGCAGGTGGTGGGGGGGTTGGAGAAGGGCATGATTTCATGGCCCTGGCATGCCAGGCGCTGAGCAGGCATGAGTGAGAGCACTGCAGGTGCGCCATGCCGTGCCACGCCACGCCACGCCATGCCATGCCTTGCCATGCCATGCCATGCCATGCCATGCCATGCCTTGCCATGCCATGCCATGCCATGCCGTGCCATGCCATGCCATGCCATGCCATGCCATGCCATGCCATGCCTTGCCATGCCATGCCTTGCCATGCCATGCCATGCCTTGCCATGCCATGCCATGCCATGCCATGCCTTGCCATGCCATGCCTTGCCATGCCATGCCATGCCTTGCCATGCCATGCCATGCCATGCCGTGCCTTGCCATGCCATGCCTTGCCATGCCATGCCTTGCCATGCCATGCCTTGCCATGCCATGCCATGCCTTGCCATGCCATGCCATGCCATGCCGTGCCATGCCATGCCTTGCCATGCCGTGCCATGCCATGCCTTGCCATGCCGTGCCATGCCATGCCTTGCCATGCCGTGCCATGCCATGCCTTGCCATGCCGTGCCATGCCATGCCGTGCCATGCCATGCCATGCCTTGCCATGCCATGCCATGCCATGCCGTGCCTTGCCATGCCATGCCTTGCCATGCCATGCCTTGCCATGCCATGCCTTGCCATGCCATGCCATGCCTTGCCATGCCATGCCATGCCATGCCGTGCCATGCCATGCCTTGCCATGCCGTGCCATGCCATGCCTTGCCATGCCGTGCCATGCCATGCCTTGCCATGCCGTGCCATGCCATGCCGTGCCATGCCATGCCGTGCCTTGCCATGCCATGCCTTGCCATGCCATGCCTTGCCATGCCATGCCTTGCCATGCCATGCCATGCCATGCCTTGCCATGCCATGCCATGCCATGCCGTGCCATGCCATGCCTTGCCATGCCGTGCCATGCCATGCCTTGCCATGCCGTGCCATGCCATGCCTTGCCATGCCGTGCCATGCCATGCCGTGCCATGCCATGCCATGCCTTGCCATGCCATGCCATGCCATGCCGTGCCTTGCCATGCCATGCCTTGCCATGCCATGCCTTGCCATGCCATGCCTTGCCATGCCATGCCATGCCTTGCCATGCCATGCCATGCCATGCCGTGCCATGCCATGCCTTGCCATGCCGTGCCATGACATGCCTTGCCATGCCGTGCCATGCCATGCCTTGCCATGCCGTGCCATGCCATGCCGTGCCATGCCATGCCGTGCCTTGCCATGCCATGCCTTGCCATGCCATGCCTTGCCATGCCATGCCTTGCCATGCCATGCCATGCCTTGCCATGCCATGCCATGCCATGCCGTGCCATGCCATGCCTTGCCATGCCGTGCCATGCCATGCCTTGCCATGCCGTGCCATGCCATGCCTTGCCATGCCGT